ACGTTCTCTAAGGGCCTTCCTTTCTATGCCAAGAACAAGAAAGGCAAACGGCGCAAGCAATCGGTCAGGGAGTACCGTACTGCGTGGCTGAGAAGTTGGACGGGGGTTGCTAACTATATGAGAGGCTGGCTCACACCACGCATATTGCAGGCTACTGACATTATGCAGCGTGCCCTGAAGGACTTTGGCGACCCTTGCATCCTAGAGGGTGATCCACGCCTTGGCGTCCATCTCGATAGTGTCCCCACCGCTTTTCGTGAGATTATGGGATATTATATTTCCGGTGTCCCACGCATGAACCTCTACTTCGAGAGTGCTGACCGACACATCGCCACGTTACTCGTATCTGACGGTAATCAACATTCGTGGAGTGGTTTCGTGCTTCGAGCAGTTGTACAGGAGCCGGCCTGTAATGCTGGCGAGCACCCTCTCCTCCTTGGTTCACCGTCTCTCAATGAGCTACTACGATGTGAAGAACCACTCACGGTGTTGCCAATGAAGATCTTCGGTGGTCGGTTCTCAAAGCTAGAGTCGACTTTGTCCAGTACAACGCGTGAGAGGATGGCTCTCCTGCTACTACTGGAAGCTGCCAAGACTCTAGTAGAGTCACTCTACTTCTACCCCCGGTCTACTCTATCACCGACAATGCCAACTGTACCAAAGAGTGGTGCAGCTTCGACCAACTCAACTACGGTTCGTGGCATTCGCGGTATATGATCTTTCAGTCATACGTCGATGGTGTGCTCTGGGTGCCGAGAGACCACCCTCTGCCGAGTCTCTGCGACACCATGGCACGATGCATTGAGGAAGGACAGCAGTACAAGCACCCAACCAGTGGATCATCAGTTCGACTCATACCACCTGGTGCATCAACGACCGACGACGGTGAAGACAACTGCTCTTCTCATTTGCACGACGATATTAATCAAGAACCATCAACCTGCAACTGCTGTACAGTCTTTGCAGCCACGGTTACTGATCCCCTATCTTCTCTTCCGGTCCCTTCGCTCCTACACCGATGTTTCACGGCTTGGAGAACTGGTACGGACTTTCCTCTACAATGCTCCATCCCTCTCGATCCAGAGCTCGCCCGTAACTGGCTCAAGGCAGCCCAGAACTCTGATGAGCACTGCGGGAAGCTTCGAACTCTAATTGGCCGAGGTCTATCCAAGTTCCGCATCGATGAGAATGGCCTGCTGAGGATTCGGGATAAGTATGTACTTCCCAAGAGATATGGTCGGTCCCTTGCCCAATACGTCCATCATTCTTATGGTCACTGTGGCGTGAAGCAGACTCTCAAGATCATCTGTCGTGACTTCTTCTGTCTCCGCATCGCCGACACTGTGCAACGTGTTGTGGGTAAATGCTACTGCCAGTATGTACGTGCTCGACGTGGTCCTTTATAACCTATCATCTCATCATTACGCGATTCTATTGGGGTCAATGATGTGTGGTACATTGATACTGTAGGACCTCTTCCGCCGAGCACCCTACACAACTCGAAGTATGTACTCTCCCTTATGGATGCGGCAAGTAGATATGTCATGTTCTTAGCGGTCTCGTCGATCACTTCAAAGGCCATCACTGATACCATCGACAATCAAGTGTTCGGCTTGGTAGGATCACCACTATGCTTTGTGGCCGATAACGGTACATCCGTCCAATCG